GGAGTTAGCCGGGTAGGAAGTAAGTCTAGAGACCTCCCACGTGGGATTCCGAAGTATCTCTTACTTATCACTTCATTTTGATGACCCATCGAGTGCTTATCTGCAAAGAGTAACATTGATCAGAATCGTTGCAGTTGCAGCCTGGAATAGCAGCCACAAGCACAGTGTTATCTATATTACTGCAGTGGCTAGATCGATGCAATAGGGACTCAGAGATTGATGCATCTTTGTGCAAGGTGCTGCATAAACCACACACACACACAGGCGTAGGAGACAGTCCTTGCCCCAAAGAGCTTACAATCTGAATCAGCAAGGCAAAGAAAGAACAGGAGGGGAACCAAGCACGAGTGAAGCAACTCACCCAAGAATACACAGCAAGTCAGTAGCAGAGAACAAAACACAAGTGTCCTGAATCCCAGACCAGGGCCTCTATCCATTGAGGAATTTAAATAAATAAAAAGACTTAAACCCAATCACTGCACTTTGCCCTGAAGTTTGCTAGACTCCAACAGACTGTCAAGGTGTACAAATTAACAAGATAATAAGCCTTGATTGAGAAAGTTCTGGAGCTTTGGAAAGTTCAGGTTATAAGACTATACACACAAAGCCAGTCTTAACCTAGTAGAAGGTAGCACTTTGCAGTGGTAGGAGTACAGCAATGGACGCAAGCACATCTGGATTATTTTCCTAGCTGCGTCACTAGCTTCCTATATGACCTTGAGTAAGTTGCATAGCCCATCGGTGTTTCTGCTTTCCTATCCATAACAGGGCATAATACAACTGACTTGTCTCAAAGGGGTGTTTGTCAGGCTTAATTAAGCTTACAAAGTGCTTTGAGATCCCCAAATGAAAAACCCTAGAAACACGCAAAACATTTTTACAGCTATAGGACTCACTAGTGAAAAATGCAAGATACATTCAGAGTCTCTGCTCTCTTACACTGAGGTACATGAGGAGTAACTCCATTAAGGCCAATAAAGGGACATCAGCATGAATTAGAGGAGAATCATGCCCATAGACTATCAATTAATTTTGTTATAGCTAAATTTCAGTTCATAGCTGAAGTCATATTAAGGGTGTCTGAGAATTTTGGCATAATCCATGAGGCTTTTTTTTGCCTTGTTTTCCCTGAAAACCTATGCACACTGTCAGCCCACAGAGCCAAGCTGGCATCAGACCTTGGTTTGAAGGCAGGACAGATTCCCACAGTCTATGGGGCTGTAAGAGTGGAACAGCATGGGGCAGTACTATGCTTGAAGCAAGGTCAGCAGAGAAGTTTACACTGATGTAAGGACAATGGTCTCCATAACCAAAGGGTCTTAACCAGCCTCTGTTAAGGCTTCTCTCAGCAAAGAAAAAAGCCTGCTGAGATAGATGGTCAGGAAGCATCAAAGGCATATGGCTTTAGAAGAAACCAACATCCACCTCCAGCACATAGGGTGTTTTTCCATCACTCTATAGAGAACTTTACAAACATTCACCAATTAAGCATCACCACCACAGAGTGGTGAGATAGATCAGATCACAAGCTTTGTCATTCCCAGCTCATCCATGGGGACCTGAGACCCATGGAGATTAAGGGACCCACCCAAGGTCACAAAGCAAATCAGTGTCAACCTCACTGTCCCCGCCATAACCACTGAGTACCTTCCAGCCCCCCCAGGCAGGCCAGTGCAAAACTTCGAATGGAAGGTTGCACCCTCCTACCACTACTTCTCTAAACAAAAGCAAAGCGACAAATCAGGTCTAGAAAGACGCCAGGCTCAAGTCACTGGTTTCCTCTCTTCTCTTGGGGGGGGGAGGGGGTGAGTTTTGGGGAAGCAACAGCACCATGAATTGGCACAGCTCTCTCCAGCCCGGCACCGACTGGAGGGAGGGCTGTCACGCCTCCTCCTCGCTGCTCCAGGGGCGCAGCCTTTCCAAACAGGTAGCGAGGCAGGCAGGTCAATGGGAAGCAAGAAGCGTTTCCAAGAAGGGGGCCTGATGCAGCAGCCTGGGGGGGCGTATAGAAGGGGGGGGGGGGAGCAGCCGAAGAGTTCAAGGACACC